CAACTTAACTTAAAATGCTAACTCAGGTCAGATGACAAGAAACTTGGGAAGAAGCATTTGAAATCAGAGATTCCCCCTTAATAAATTTCCTATAAATGAAGGATGGAAATTCCTCTTGCAGTTTCCAAGATTTCATATTTATCACAAGAGTAGCATGACGGTTATCTTACTCAAAGTCTGCAAGTTGTCCCTCTCAAAAAGTCAAGATGGAAGTTCCAATAGGCAGACTAACTTTGATCTTATTGTCACGGCTGCCATCTTGGACCACCTCCCCCAACTCTGCAGAGACTCCTGAAAATCTGGGTTGCTCTTGCTTGCTCCTTTTATGGGGCTTGACCATATGGAGTTGAGATGAAACTGACAAGAGTTCCTCTGGCTTTTTTTCAGCCTGAGTAGCGGGTCACAAACATAGTCGAGGTACATGAACCAAAGTGGAAGAAAATTGCTTGATGATCCACATAATTCTTTATGTGCTAGTGACTCATCAAACTAGTAAATATGTGTCTATGGATCAGCACAGGTGAACAATTGCATGCATGGTAGATGGGCAATACCTTCACACTTTAGCCTGCATCCACTCACCTTGTGTTCAGCCTGTTAACCAAGCTGCTGTTTTGGATGGAAATTTAGCATTTTTTCCAGAAGAATGGTGGAGCTGCATTCAGAAATAGCTTGAAAAAGTCAAAATGCACAGGACACATCCATGCTGGCAATCTCTTTCTCAGATACCTTGAAAGGGAGCTAAGCACAGTCCATCCCAGCTCTCTTCTACTCTCATCTAATCCTATTACCACACCACCAGGTTAAGATTAGCAATTGGTGCTTGCCACTTCCCCCAGCCAGAGGTCGTATTTAGCCAGTTCTGACAGGTTTTGGAGAACGGGTAGCGGAAATTTTGAGTAGTTCGGAGAACTGGCAAATAGACTGGCCCCACCCCCACTGCCTCCCAGCTGATCTTCTTTTGTTGTCCTGAACAGGAGAACAGAGCTGAAAAGAAGGTTAGTAGGGGGGGGGCATGGGGATTTTGCAGTATCCTTCCCCTGCCATTCCCACAAAGCCACGCCCACAAAGCTACACCATGCCCACAAAGCCAAGCCCACAGAATCAGTAGTAAAAACTTTTTGAACCCTATCACTGCCCCCAACAGAATATGATTGGCAGGGAGAGACTTGAATCTGGTCACTTTTCTTTACCAGCCTCCCTACTGAGGCCAATTAGATCTTGGACAGTGGAGCAGCACAACACATACTTTTCCTCTGAGTATTATAGGGAGTATTATAGGAAGAATGCACATTAACATGGCAATGAGGAGCAACTAATAATATATGTCTGAATAGTTGCAAAAATATTTAGAATATATCTGCAAAATAATAGAAAGGCTTTGACATTAAAATGGCAAACCAGACTTTTAAACCAACCTGTTGATTATTTTGTTGAATCCAATTATTGTAATTTACAACCATGTCTTCATGTGTAAACCTAGTTTCAAAATAAACATTGCCTGCATTACAACCTGAGAACACAAATCCCTGACATGCCACAATCTGTAAACTTCCTCTGTAAGGAAATTGACATTGCACTATGATCACAAAAAGAGTGCTATGAGAAGGATAGGATAATATCATACTGTTACATTTACAATCATCTGAAGATTTTTCTACATTTAAACAGTCATCTTGGCAGGAGATCCCTTAGACATTTTTTATTGATTATGTGCAACTACATAGATAGTTCTTCTCTATAACAATCTCTCCTTAACCTTACCTTTCAGGTCTTCCAATGATGTAGTCATCACCACTGTTTCTGAGTCCCCCTCCTCCTCCTCTTCCTCCTCCTCCTCCTCCTCCTCCTCCTCCTCCTCCTCCTCCTCTTCTTCTTCTTCTTCTTCCTTTCCTAGCATTAGAGTTTTCTCCAGAAAGGTGGGTCTTTGCAGAATGTTCCATTAGACCAGTGGTGGGATTCAATTTTTTACTACCGGTTCTATGGGCGTGACTTGGTGGATGTGGCAGGGAAAGGATACTGTAAAATCTCCATTTCTTCCCCACTCCAGGGGAAGGATACTGCAAAATTCCCATTCCCTCCTGATCAGCTGGGATTTGGGAGGCAGAGAATAGATGGGGCCAGTCAGAGGTGGTATTTACCAGTTCTCTGAACTACTCAAAATTTCCACTATCAGTTCCCCAGAACTGGTCAGAACCTGCTGAATACCACCTCCTCATTAGACATTAGATCTGCTTATATTATTTTATATATTTAATCTTCCATTTGAATGTCTCCATTTGTTTTAAGTTAATTCACTTAAATTTATATTAAATAATTATATAGTATCAGGTGTGTGATTAATTGCATTGTCTGTGAGTGATAAATACTTTTGTAAATATTATTTATCTTTTAATTTTTTATGTAAGGTATAAAAACAATTAGACATTTCCTCCATATTGATGTTACCAAGTGTAGTTTGCAGTCTATGTTCTGAACAGAGATACAGGAGATACCAGGAGGTGTGCTGGGGTGTCAGATTACTGTGTCTCCAAACAAAGATCAAGGGACAGGGGCTCACATGCACATTTCTCTTGAAAGAAGCATTTTCTGGCCTGATAGCCACCTCTTTGTGCCTTCCTGTAACAGGGGAATGGCATGCAATGGACATCTATGCCAACAAAATGATTTTGTGTCCTCCTCCAAATTCTCTCTCCCCCCTTCTCCCTCCCTCTCTCTCTCTCTCTCTCTCCCCTCTCTCTCACACACATAAGAATTTACTTTGGGGAACATTTAAAAAAAAAGAAAAGTAGTGCTATTTTGATTCTTTGTCTTCCCAAGCAATGACTTTTTGTTACTGGAGCAAATATAATTCTTGTGACCCCCTGTAATAAACATATTCTTAATTTAATTATTACATATTTTTATGAATTACAGGCTGCTTCTGGGTTGGAGACAATTTGGTCTATATACCCAGAAAAGAATGATTCAGAGATCAGAATGGAAATTCCATTTTTATTCTTTTGTGCTGAGTTCTTGGTGATATGCACATTTTGCTGTAACCTCTTACTTTTCTATGCCATCCTCTGTTATGATAGTAAGAGTGGAGAGAAAGAGAAAAGCTATATTTATTCTTACATGTGCAGCTTGGTAACCAAGATATGGTGCGATTAACAGTATAACTGCAAGGAACATTCATTTCAGATTCTCAGGGCCTTGTTGGCCAAATTTGGCTGTGAAGGGGAACTCCAAGCACCTGATTTGGACTCTTTCTCATCTCGTCTTTGGACTTCACCCATGGATACTGATCTATGAATTCTTATTTGTTCTTCTTCTATCAAATTCACTCATGCTGGTTCTTTCCTGTTATGTTGGAAACAGGAACAGGCAGAAGCGTAATAAAATGAAATGAGGCGCAGAGGCACAATGGCCATGACTATAATAGGAGTTATTCTTTTAAAAACAGCAAAAATATGTTACACTGCTTTTAAAACAATAGTTTTCATTTTTACCACCGAGATTTAGAAAAAAGACTGGAAAAAAGAAATTGCAATCTATTGTAAAAATTTAGAATCCAAAAGCAATGCCGGCCAATGAGTCATTGGAAGAACTCGTGAGCTGCAGTTGGTTGCATGATTTCAGAGGCCTGACTCATTGCTTCACGGTCTGCATTAAAAGTGGCACAGAGGTTTCATCTAGAATGGCAAGAGCTTCTGAAATAGTAGGTTCTCAGGATCTGTTCAGTTCTTCTTGTGCCTGATAATAATTAAGATGACAATAGGAGCCAGCAAGTTCTCTGTTTCTGAGAACTTCTGAGGTACCTGAGAGAAACAGTGAATTTTAGATGGGGCTGGCATAAAAACACAAAGTGAAGTGATCACTAAAGAGGCACAGTACAGGCAGTCATTTGCAAAACAATGCATAACTGAGATCTTTTATTCTTTCCAGGGTGATTACTTTTGCAGAGTAACTGAAAATGGGCTCTAGAATTCTGGGAGGTTACTGGAAATGTGAAAATTGTTCAACTCTACAGGACCATAGTAGCCCTTCTTGACAATGGAACTCAAGAAACGTTTGTTTTGCAAGTGTCAACATGCCTTTTTCGGCTCTTCTTCTCTCTTAATTTTCAGCCTTGCATTGTGGTATGGAAGCATATACAGTGTTCTGCATTCTTTCACTGTTACATACTGACAGCCAAGTAATAGACTCCACCAAGGTCCTCCATTTCAGCAGGAGAATACTCAAAACTTATTGGCCCAGCTGTCTCACAGCTCCCTATAAAAGGGCTAGCTGTCAGACAGGCCGGTGCTGGGCCTGTAAATAGTTGTCTAATAAACAGCTGTTGTTTGTCACTGAAGCCTGAGTCCTGTCTCATCCATTCACCCCATCTCACATTAACTTTTCTACATAAGGTATCTTGAGGAACAAACCAGTGTTAGGATTCAAAAATCTTTTACCACTGGTTCTATGGATGTGGCTTGGTGGGCATGGCATGGCTTGGAGATATTGTCAAATCTCCATTCCTCCCCCCCCACAAACCAGGGGAAGGTTACTGCAAAATCCCCATTTCCTCCTCAGCAGCTGGGACTTGGGAAACAGAGAATAGATAGGGCCAGTCAGAGCTGGTATTTAGCGGTTCTCTGAACTACTCAAAATTTCCACTACCAGTTCTCCAGAACTGGTCAGAACCTGCTGAATACCACCTCTGAAACAAACCTCTCTGCTATAGCCAGCTTTCAGTTTCTCCTATTCAGAATACTACTTCACATTGCATGGATGTAGGTGATAAAACTCATACCACATGATGGCTTTAATGGCTATTAGACAAATTTAACAGAAGATAAGGGTATCAGTGACTGATGAATGCTATGCATTGCCTAGATCAGAGATAGATATAGTAGGATAATGATATTGGTTTCCCGTATTGTCTGTGGGATTTTTAAAAGACTCTGGTTGTCTATTAGACTAGATAAGGTTGGGCTTAATCTTGTAGGACTCTTTTTATATCCTTATGCTGTCACCTGTGGTGATTGGGAGGTGAAAATGCTGGTTTTCTCCTCTGCTCTCATTCCCAGTAGTTCTCTTCTTGCTTCTGGCAATAATTAGGATAATAATAGCAATCAGTAGTTTGAAACCAAGAAAGCCAGCCACTAGGAAGATGAGATTGACTCCAGCATTTGAAAGAGAGCTTTGAAAAAACACAAATACAATAGAAATGAATTAGGTAATGTAGAATGAAAATGTTTACTTAAAAAGGGGACTTTGGATATTGTTTGGTGACGACTATAGCTCAGTCACCAGAGCACTTGCTTTCCAAGAAGAAATCCTACGTTCAATTTCTAAGTTATCCAGATAAAACTCAGAAATGGAAGTCCCAGCAAATCCTTACTGATCAAAAAAGACAACCCGAAGCATCAGATGATACTGAACTCAGAACATTTTTCCACTACCTTTAAGCAGTGCTTTCTAGGAAATCTGATTGTAGCAGTTATTGGCGTGAGTGAGTGGACTATGTGGGCTGGTTATTTTGCTTTCCCAACTGGTTTTTGTCACCTTTCCCATCTTCACTCTTCATTTTTGTCTATATTGCATCTATTTCTTGTTTTTACCATTTTTATTTTTAATTGCCCAGAGTATTTTGAAATTGGGCTGCATGTATATTTAAAATATTAATATGAATAGTATTTCTCCAACATTTTCTTTTCTTTCTCTGGAATTTCTGGTTCCAAATTAACCGGACATGCAGAAATTGTCAATATATGTTGTGTTGTGAATGTGCAGGAGAGCCTAGTTTTCAATTTAGCCATTACACTCCCCGTACAGTAAGATAATGCCACAAATCTAAATTGTGCAGTATAATGTTTGTCCCATTTGACCAAACTGTTCTGATTTATATTTGGAGTTATGAAGCTCACTGGTTTTTCAAACCCGCTACCATGTTGAATGGGGATTGCTGCTCTATCAAAGGGGAAATTGCTTATAAATTCCCTCAATTATGACTTCTCATTCTCTGCAGGGTATCTGTGGGCTGCTGGGGTGTCAAAAAAGTTAAGAGGGCAGCTGTGACCATACTATTGAAACTTCATCTCTTTATTCCATGTAAAACCAGGGCAACTCTGATCATGTAGTCTGAACTGCTACCTTACCTTATTGGATCCTTCTGCAGATGTTCCTATCCTGTCCTACATATTTCAGACTATGCTTGCAGTTAATGCTAAGAATACTCAACGTTAGAGAATGTACTTTGGAAATGTGCATTTCTATATTTATTTTACATTTGTCTTCAATCTAGCTGGGGAATTCTGGAAGCTGAAGTCCATACATCTTAAAGTTGCCAAGGCCGAGAAACACTACTTTAGAGTAATGAGGCATTTTCTTTTTCCTTGATTATGATGTGTACCAAAAGTTCACGCCATAATTTTTTTTTAGTTTAATGTTATTTAGTTTAATGTTATTTCTGGCTGTAATTTTAAAAAATGTCATCAGAGTAGGAAGTTGTAATTGGGCTCCTCCCAGTCAAATATGGTATCAGAGAGGTAAGAAAAAATGTGAAGGCAGCCTCTGTGCAATCAAAGCCATGCTTTGGGTGTGTGTTGTATGCACAACGTAAATAAAAAGGAGCTTTGATTGAATGGTCCTGGCTGCTACCTGACATTTCTTACTCTTTCTTGCTGAAAGTCTTGTGATAATTTCTAACCACCACCATCCCAATTGCCCCATTCTGCATATATACCACAATATTATAAAAAGCTCTTTCTTCCAGATATGGCTTCACAGCAGGGACCAATTGCCACTGGGGAAAAAAATAGCTTCCAACCCCCCACCCCACCCCCGCAAACCCCTGAAGCAAAAGGCACCATCCAGCCTGTTTCAAAACCTATAACAAAGCAAGAGCCTCACTTTCTGTGTCACTCTGATCCACTGTAATGTAAATCAGACCACTGTGAAATTCTTTCTGATATTTAGTTAAATCCCTCCTTCCTCTAATCCAGTGGGTCTCAACCTTCCTAATGCCGCGACCCTTTAATACAGTTCCTCGTGTTGTGGTGACCCCCCAACCATAAAATTATTTTATGTTTTCCGTATTTTTTTTGAAAATATGTGTTTTCCGATGGTCTTAGGCGACCTCTGTGAAAGGGTCATTCGACCCCCAAAGCAGTCCCGACCCACAGGTTGAGAATCGCTGCTCTAATCCAAGCCTATTAATGTTGAATTGCACACTCTGGTGCAGAAAAAAAAGGTACATATAGTCTTACCCAGAGATGCTGTGAAGGATTCTGGGTGTCTCTTGTACATCCTCTGTACCTGGCAAAAATGCAGCAATACACAATTAAGTTAATAAGAATAAATATAATAAACATATCATTGAGCAAGATTAATTATTCTAAATAGTGGGTTCAGTTCAACTGAAAGGGAAGAGGTTGTGAAGAAGAAGAAATTCCCCAGGCCTCCCACCTCCATTGTCTTGGATACAGGGCATCCCCTTGGCCTCTACTTCTCCATCCTGAAATATACACACACTCCTGCTTCATTCTTTTCTTTGCAGCTTACCAAACACTCTAGCTTTTTCTTTCTCTTTTCATTCCTGTCTTTGCGTAACACAGGGATGGAAAACTATGGCTCTTTTATGACTTGTGGACTTCAACTCCCAGAATTTCTGAGCCAGCCATACTGGTTCAGGAATTCTGGGAGTTGAAGTCCACAAGTTATAAACGGGCCATAGGAGCTTTTTCAAGAGGCAACTGGACTTTCTGGTTTTTCTTCTTCAGATCTTGCATGAGAAGCGAAACCTCTTCAAAGAAAAACCAAAAAGCTCAGTTGCCTCTTGTAAAAGCACCTTTGGGACAACCATGACCTGGATGACTGAGAATCTCCATAGACACAAAGGGGCCATAATGCCCACCTCTGGGACAACAGGTTAAATCTTAATTGAAATCAGAGTTTATAACCACAAATCCAATTATTTTGAAGATATAGCATAGAACAGGTTTAGGACTAAAGACTTACTTGTCAGAACATTCACCTTGACCTTCTGCAGGGTCTTCACAGTCCCCAAGAAACGTGTCAAACACTGATACCAACCAGCATCCTGTTTCTGGAGTGGGTTGATGGTTACCATGACCACCCCTTCTTGGATATTGTCAGCAATGGCTGTGGTGCCATTTCTTCGCTTGACAAATGGCAGCCAAAAACGTCGGGCACTGACAACATGCTGGCATGTTGCCTCACTTATGTGCTTACACCAACTTTTCTCTCTCCACTGGTTCTCCTGAGGACTATAGGAGCAATTGATGGAAATGGGTTCCCCTTCAACACCGAAAACCTCTGTAATTACCTCAGCTGTAGACACTTCTTGAAAAGAAAGATAGATAGAAAGAAAGATCTACTTTTGCACAGAGGGGCGATTAGCCTGCAAGGCTTCAATAGCATTGTTCACAGTCTCATATAAATCCATACATCTGGAACAGTAATGTGTTCTAGCCCCCACCCATCAACAATTACTACACTGAAATTCTTTCTGATCTCCCTTTTACTAGTCTTCCCCCTTTGCCTCTCCTTTTGAGTATTCTTCTTTCTTTCAACAATATTCTATGCATCCAACCAAGTCATCTGTGGTGCAAGAAATCTGATGGCAAATAAATTTCATTTTAATATTAATATGTAGGGGGGGAAGCATTGAAAGCATTCATTCTACCCTTAAATGAGTCACATCTTAATCATTTTTCCATAGCTTTATTACTTATATTCAAAATTATAAAAAATATAAATCCAGCTGGAGGAACTTGTTAATCACTTAGCAGAATTCTTACTGAGTTGAGATATATTATAATTAAAAAAAAAAACTGTTTAAAAAGTATCATGAGCCGAAAGCTCTTCTAGTTGTTACTGGACTCATTCATACAACCCATTGAACAATAACATATAGCCAATTAATCACATCAGCAACCAATACAGAAAGGCAATTTCCTACCTGACAAGTGGACCAGGAAGATGAGATACCAAAGCTTTTTCATGTTTCCTTGGAAAATCAAGAGGTGCTAATTAAAACAGAAAAGAGAGGCTTGTACCAGACAAATACTTTGCTTTACTAGACACAAGGGTTGAAGAAGAGGAACTTATGTTTCTCCCTGTTGTAGATTGAGCAATGCCCCATCAAAAAAATAAAAAGCCTGGCATTTGCTAAAAATGTGAACATCAGCAATGATGAGGGACTGCTCTATCATGGAAAGAAATCATGACGATCATCAAGGGTGTCTTCAGTCTTGACTGTCTACTGCAAGTCATTCATGCCCAAATCTGGAGTCTCCCTAATTAATCTGTATTTAGTAATAAGGATACAGCTTGCCACTAGGAATATTAATAGGCAGTGAAATGTGGCACAAACATGCACTATAATTCAGAGATTTAGGACACAATTTTATTTTTGAAAGTTTTTGTGATATCAGGCCACTAAAATGTCTCAAGTGTCTTGCTGGCTAATGGCTGGCCCTGTCTATACAAAACCAAAGGAGATATTCTTTGTCTTTTTTTTCATAAATATGAACAATATATTTTCCTACTATGTGCACTGTGTGGGAACTCCTTCAGATCAGCTCTAGAATTGGTTTAACTATATTTTTGGATGTAGGATCTAGTGAAGAGCTGGAGAATATTGAAGAACACAAAGATCCCTGGTGTCTACTCAGTTTAATGTCAGCCCTGGATATAATGTTAGCAATTTTATGTATTATGTTGAGTTCTCATGTTAAATCAGCGTTTTGTACACTTTGATTAGAAATAAGCAGAATTAAAAGAGAGGCTTCCTAAACAACAGTTTACTAAACAAAAGTACTCAACTAAACTCACTGCCAGGACTTCGATTCTGACTGGCTCAAGGCTGACTCAACCTTCCATCCTTCCATCAGTAAATAAGGACCCAGATTGTTGGGGGCAATATGCTGACTCTGTAAAGGGCTATAAAGTGCTATGAAGTGCTATATAAGTACTATTGCTATTTGTTTATATAGTTTCAAATAAATGATACTGTAATATAGACTATATAATAGTGGTGTTGTATAAGGCTACCACTGTTGCAACCATAATCTTAAAAATAATCCAATCTGCATACTTACAGATATTTGATATAGGAATGGTCATTGTTCTGTTTATATTAGTCTGACTTTATGCTTGTAATTCGTCTTCCATATGTGCATGTACATGTCAGCTGGGGATAGACCTTCCTCTGATGAAATAGTCATTTGTTTACAAAACTTACAATATGTTTATGTCACAGAATACACCACAACTACTGTTTTTGAAATTAATAAACTAAATAGATACTTGAATGCCTTCTTTAATTTTGCTATGGAGGTTAAGCCTGGAAATTGGCTTATTTCAGAACTTTGATAGAGCTCCAAATTTGGACTAGATTCATTTCATCACTTGGCTTATTTGGGGCAAAATAAATCACATTGTGGAAAATATCCCAAATCATCCATTATACCTGTAACCTTAGCAATAGTCACTTCCTATGTATATTTTGGTCTGTTTCCTTGGTGAGTAGTCTGTAGTCTTAGTTCCTCTTCTTTTATTTTCAAATCTTTACTTTCTGTGTGCATTTTTAGTAGCTCCTCCTGTCTGCTTCTAGTTGCAAGTTATTTTTATTCCTATACTCCTTACTTTTTTTTTCTTGTTTTCCACTTGCCATATCTTATAGTTTGGGGTATGTTTCAAGAGAAAGTCCTATATTCACCAGTTCTTCAAAGAACATAAATTGAGAACATGCTTTATTATGGAAAATTATTCTGTAGAACTTCCATCTAAAGATAAAATATCAAAGGAGAACCAGGCCTGAAAACTTGCCATCCACAGCTTGCGTACAAATCTTCCTGATACCCTGTGATGGCTGTATTTCAGCTTGAACTACAAGGATACTTTCTATTGCTGTATTAAATTAACATGTCACAATAGTATATAAGCCTATATTTAATTTTATCCTCTTTCTTATTACCTGTTTTCTCTTGGGAAGGATAATGCCTATATGATTATCACTAACAGTGTCCATCGTCTGGGCTTTAGGAGATCAATATTGGAGGAACTATTAAGATCCCCATATTGTATTATATATATAGTATATTGCCAATACTTGACTTAAACAGATCTCAAATCTAGCTGTACATCTTTTACTCTGTGAGAGAAGAGGATTACATTTTATAACTTCTGATTGTCTTCACATCCTCCCTCTTTATGTCCTTTTAAAGATATTCAGTGATCATAAGCTTTTATCTTTTTACTTCAGAGTAATGTGGAAGTTGATTATCATGTAAATTGTTCTCACTGCTTTCCCTTATTTCCTTTCTTTCAGTTTTGCAATATTATTTTAGGACTCTTGGCCTGAGCATATCTTCAGTGAATAAACTACCCCATACATGAAAAGTTGCCTTTGATTTGCAAGTATTGAAGTTTGAGCTAGAAAAGTTTATTTCCGACCTGTTAACTGGATATCCCCTCAGGTGGCATGGCTGGGGAAAGTGATTTTTCCCTATTCCTTTTCTTCCTTAAAGCCTCCAGCATCACCTTCCTGGAGGTTCTGGAGTGTTCTCCAACCCTGTTGTGTAATTTGCTGAGGACAAAGAGGCTGCTTGGGAACTGGACATTGATAGATGGGCTCCTTTCCTTCTACCTCAAAAGGGAGCTTGGTTTGCATAATTCTGGATCCATTCCTTTTTCCTATTTGGGTAATTTCCTATATCCCTTTCCAAACAATTTATATCAATACAGTTGTCTTTTTTTCACTGCACCAGCACTGTGAGATGGGGAAAAGAATCACTCCAAGAGAGCAATCAAACCAACTGTGGGGGCGCAAAATATTGAATTGAAATTTAAGCAGCTCTGAAATATAAGGCAACCTCATTAATCAGATCACAAAAATAATTCTCACAAAATGAAGACTAACATTGGAACGAAGAATACTGTGTTATAGCTATCATTTCTGACAATCAGTGATACAAGAAGTAATTTTGGAGGTTTGAGCCTAAGTTTTAGAAAGTATCAAATTGAGGTGAAGTCTTGCTGACTTTTTCATGATTATGGTTCATTGCAGTCAGTCAGATGTTTAGACTGGATTTGGCATTTTTATCCACCTATTAAGTCCTTCCTAAGGACCTGGAATAGACAGACATTGTTGTTTGATGGTGTTAAAGGTATTGTTGTAGGATATAAGCTGTTCCAAATAAAGCAATTGACTGAAGGTGATTTTGTCAAAGCTGATGGTGTTCAAGTGATGCTCCAGATGTTTTGGGATT